AGACAAGAAAAGGGATAATATTCAATATAGTTGGCAGCAGAGGTATAAAAAAAAACAATAGATGGTAACAAATCGATAATCCGAGTCAAACCTGAAAAAAAAAACGATGTGGTTTGGTTTAATTTGGTTTGGTATTGGAAAATAAAACCCGACCATAATTGGTTTGGTTTTAACTAAAAAAAATCAAACCGAAACCAAACCAACCCGATAGTACATTTATATAATTTTTAAAAATATTTTATACATATAAATATTTATTGTAATGTAACTTATAAATATTTTTAAAACTTTTTTATAATTTTATCTTTTAAGGTATTATTTCAAGTTTACACTTAACATCTTGAATGCTAAATAAATTTTATAGCCCATAAATGTAGTAACTCAAATAAAGTCCAAATCAATATTAATACTAACAAAAGAAATTTAACAATACTAGGAATGACGATAGTGTTGAATAATTATTTTAGTTTTACATTGGTTTATAATGAAAATGCATAACTTAGTTTATCCTTTTTTTTAGTGCTTAGTTATGTAATTAATATGAGTACTTATTAGCTATACTTATTTTATCATGACTTATATAGTATTTTTAGATTATGTTAATTTTTATTATGACTTATTAATTAGCAATATTTGTTTTATGTAATTTTATTATTTTATCTTTATTATTGAATATTTTAGTATAATGCTATAACTTATCTCATATTATTGTGTTAGTTTTTTGGAAAACACATTATATAGTTGTATTTTACTAGGACTTAAGAAATATTTGGAGCACAAGTTACATATTTTATGTTATGAAGACTTTACCGAAAAAAAACTCGAAAACCCGAAAAAACCCGAAACCCCCGAGAATAACCGAGATTGAAAAACCCGATTTTGTTGGTTTGATTTATAAATTTAAAAATCCGACACCATTGGTTTGGTTTGATAATTGAAAAATCTGAACCAACACGACTTATGTAAACCCCTATTTGGCACTTGGCAGAAGATAGATTTTTTAATATAAATGGTCCAGTATAAGAAAGCAACCACAATTAAGAATAATCATACACATTCAGTTATCTGTTTTTTAAAGATTAAACCACTGCTTATAATTGAGTTATAATGCAATCTGTATCTGTGCTATGTAATTAATTATTGCTTATTTCCTCAACCCCTCCCCACCCTACCCCACCCCACCCCTCACCCCTTAGGCTCTCAAATTTCATTAATTTTTTAGAATTCAACAGTACAATCATTTTCATACTAGATTTTTATGACTACGAAGTCAACTATGCCTCTGTATTGAGCCGAAGGTGTATCTCTGCCTCCACAAGAATACGGGTAAAGTTTACGTACACACTATCTTTTCAGACTCCATTATATGAGATTACATCGGGTATATGAGATTACATCGGGTATGATGTTATTTTTGTGACTACAAATTTATCATGTATAATATTCTTAGTCATTATTGATGACTATGTCCAACGAGAAGGTTATAACGCGTACAGTCGAACCCAGTAATTTTAGTTCGTACCCTATAGATTTAGGCAAATCTTATATTTTGTATTAACAAATCTACTAAGTATGTACGAAAATTAAATTCGATCAGAACCCAATTACAAACAATTGATGCCGATATCTTAGAATTCAACACTCATAAAGTTCAAATTCAAATCAAATGTATCAACAACTTTCATCAGTATTATGCGGAAAATAGCATTGATGGCCAAAAGACTCAAATAATTAAAGTTATAAATTGACTATAAGTTAAGCAAATGGGAAAATTAGTCAAGATTCAAGATAGCTATCTATACCACATGTTTCATCAAAATAATGTTCTTTTCCTAATTTTCAAGCCTTAGATCCATTAATCCTCTCTTTTATGCGTGTGAAAATAAGCAATAATTTATTTATTGTTGTTATATTATTTAATCATTAACAAGCAGTAATTGTTACAACTACTTGGTTACGTATCGCCACTACTGCTTAACCTAACCGTTCCTTCCCATGAGTTGGTGATTCTTCTCCCTTAAAACCAGGGAGGATGTAGCATTCGATACGGAATATAGATATATATATATATATATGTCAATGAATTTAGTACTGAAAATTTTAAAAATTAAAACTATTAAATTTAATTTTTGGGTCCTCTCTGCTTTGAATAGTGATTTGAAAAAAAAATAGTCGTCCTAGAAGTTAGTTATTGCCTATTGGTCATGTATATGACAAAATGTCCCTATTTCATATTTTCAAGAAAATAATAATTATATATACATATGCACTTGAAATGCTTATTTGTAAAAGACAATGCATTTTTTCATTTATTTTGTATCATTTTATTTACTTGAAACGTTTACTTGTAACTGTGGAGAAGGTACCCAATGAATCAAACGAAAGGGCGCTATATAAGGTTATTTGACGATGGTAGCCTAGGAAAATGTGTCAAATCGGAATTAATCCATTTAAATTTCCTAGGTAATAAGTTGTAGAGGTTAATTCTTTTGATTAAGACTCCATTCTCACATTAATCGGGAAAATAACTTTATATAACCGCTCTTAACATAATAATTGAAAATATATATATATATATATTCGGCATGTTATATACAAAAATTATATAAATTTTATATATTTTTTCGACTACCAAATATTAAATAATTTCTGGCGCAGTTTAAAAGTGAAAAAAGCCGGCTTTAACATGATTGATTTAATCATTAAGGGATATGGTCGAATGGTAAAGGTTAATTATTTTGATCATGCTTAATTAGAAGTATTAGGTTTAAACTTTAAACCATGAGAATTGAGTCATATTTGGCACGGAGCTAAAATTTCGAGCTTTTACCATGCGAATGAAAACACACACATTCAACACGATCTAATATATATTTGCTTTTGAAGAATAAATACAAAGAGTTGATATATACATTAGTGGTAACAAAATGAATAAAAAACGAGTTGAATTATAAAAAATTTAAAATAGGTCAAATATGGATAAGATTCATATTGTCCACTTAAAAATAGATATTTAATAGATAACTAATGAATATAACTTTTACATTTGTAAACACTTAAATTGAGTATTCATCCATTTCCCAAAACTGATCACATTCAAGAATATGGGTTGGTCGAATATTTTATCATTTTTTGCATTACCTGTTTTGACCCGTCCACGCCCGATCCGATTCGTCAATTTGTCACCCCTACCTACTCATGAATAGTACTTTCCAATACACTACCTTACATATATCAAGATAGGAGGGGTCCAAACTCCAAAAGGCTAGGAGGTAGGAAATGCCTTTTAATTTCATCTGCCCTTTAGATATTCTCATCACTTGGCCAATAATTGCAAATGAATATCGTCCTCCAACTTTAAAGTCCCAAGTGGAAACCCATTAAATGTGGAGGCTTGACATATATTATTATTATTATTACTATTATTATTTACATAGCTTTCAAATATTCAAATTCTATATTATTACTCTTTTTGCTCAATTTTATGTAAACATATTTGATTAGACACGAATATTAAGAAAAAAATAAAGACTTTTAAAATTTTTAATGTTAAACGTGTCATGACATTTATGTCACTATAAAACTTTTAGGTAGAACAATGGTCTTAAATATGTTATAATATTCGTATGACTATATAAATCAAGTCAAAATAATAATAAAATAATAAGCTTAAATATATAATATTTTAAAAATATAAAAATAGATCAATCTTTTGGAACAATTTAAAAATAAAATACCATCACATAAGATGGAACATAGAGAGTAATAATAAGCTCGGATATGATATTCTTGTATTTAGCAAAAGTTTTCAAGTAATTGCTCTTATAGTTTGTTTGGCCAAACTAGAAAAATCAGCTTATTTTGATAAGTATTTTTTTTAAAGTGCTTTTTTAAAAGTACTTTTGGTGAAAAGCAGTTTGTGTTTAGCTAATTAATTTTAAAAATACTTATACGCAATAATTTATGTTTGACCAAGCTTTTAAAAGTGCTTTTAAGTGTATTTTTCTCAAAAGTGTTTCTCAAAAAAGTGTTGCTCCTCAAAAACACTTTTTTCTTCTTCTAAAAGCTTGGCCAAACACTTCAATATATATTTTTTTCAAAAAAAGTACTTTTCAACTTGGAGAAACTTGGCCAAACAGGCTATTACTTTCATCCCAAATTATATGATAACTTATAGAGATTCAAGAAAATAAAGAGAGACCTTTGAAATTTGCGTATAAAGCAAGATATAAATATTTGTGTAGCTATAAGAGCAGAACAATGCACTAAGCTCCCGCTATGTGCGGGGTCCGGGGAAGGACCGGACTACAAGAGTCTATTGTATGCAGTCTTCCCCTTCATTTCTGTAAGAGACTATTTCTACGGCTTGAACCTGTGACTTTCTGGTCACATAGCAACAACATTTTTAGTCACGGCAAGACTTCCCTTCAAAGATAATGATGTGCACTGTAAATTGTTAAATTAAACATAAAATAAAAAGACTAACTCTAAATTAAATTGTTACTAAATATAAAAATATGTTACTCTTTTTTAAGATCAACTAAAAAGGAAATAATATCACTATTTTAGTACACATAAAGTTATATAATACTTTCTCCTGTCACTTTTATTTGGTATTTATATTAAAAATAGATGTTCACTTTTACTTGACACTTTACGCATATCAAGAGAAGACAATAATTTTTTTTCTGTTTTACCCACAGTATTTATTATAATTTCAAATTATTTTCTCAAATCCAATAAAATATACATCAATTAATATGGGTAAAATAACAAATTATAAATTTTATTTATTATTTCTTAAGGGGCGTAAAAAATCAAAGCGTGTCAAGTAAAAGTGACCGGAGGGAATAATTAATATTAAATTTACCTCTAAAACTTCAATATCCAATAAAGTATATGTCGTGTATGTCGTGTAAGATGGGGTTTTAGCTTGTGGACAAAGTCGCACTATTTTCCACACAGTACTATTCGTCCAATTAAACTTACTTATATAAACTCAATCTAAGCAGCGGATTGACGAAAGCCATCGCAGAAAAATTCAAACTTCAAACTTGAATTTTCAAGCACAAATAGTTGAAGCCAATTTTGGCAAAATCATACCAAAACTACAAAACCCAGAAAATTAACAAGGTTTTATAAATAAGTTCCATTTCTTCTTTTTCTAAAATTTATTTTTGTGAAAGTGGGAATGGTATTGATACAGCAAGAAGAAGAAATAAGAAGTGAAAGAGGAAAGAAGGGAATGCGAGTTGGGAAATACGAACTTGGAAAAACTTTAGGAGAAGGTAATTTTGGCAAAGTTAAGTACGCAAAACACAAAGATTCTGGCCAATCTTTTGCTATCAAAATTTTGGAGAAAAATCGAATTCAAGATCTTAGAATCACCGATCAGGTCTCTCTCTCTCTGCTTCATTTTAGCTTCTGCGTTTAGACGTAAATTTATTGATTGAAACTTGAAAAAAAAGAGTTTCTGAATTTGTGTTAAAAATAATTTGGAAGTTAAAGTTGCAGAAAAGTTTTCACCCAAAAACTGGCTGAAAACTTGAAAATTTTTCTTTATTTTTTTTTTGTCAAAACTGATCAAAATTCATGAACAAATAATGTAATTAATATAATTTTTTTTTGGAAAAAAGTTTTAAAAAATAAATTCCATGTTCAAACGGGAGTTTAGTTGTGAACAGCGGCGAATTCAAAATTTCGAGGCAGTTATGTATATAGTTTGAGTCTAAAGTAACTGATTCAGTTAAATTCACATAACTTTTGTAAAAATATTTAAAACTACTCTTATATTCACGGAATGTGGTTTGGGACACGACGAAATTTAATTTGTGAGATCAAATAAAAAAATGAGATCACCGGAATATAGCACAAGATCACAGTTTCTTGCTGTTTTAGCAGAAGTGCAGAACCAGAAATAATGAAGATAAAAATGCTAGTAATAGTTCATTAACTAGTAAAATATAATTATTTTCTGTTTACTATAATTAGAGTCTGCTTTTGGTCTTTTAGTCAAACGGATTGATTTTGCACATTATATGAAATAAAAGATTTTTTTTTCTACTTAATTTGAAATTAATTTTGATAAACAAACTAGTTTCTCCAACAGAATATTGAAGTTTTTTTATTAAATATTTTTACAAATGTACAACTGCTGCTAAAACAGGAATACATTAATTGGATTTTCATAATATTTATGATTATTGCAGATAAAGAGGGAGATTAAAACCTTAAAAGTCCTCAAGCATCCAAATGTGGTCAGATTATACGAGGTACGTCGAGTATTTATTAACTACTAATTTAGTAATAATCATATCACATAGTAGATTGATGTAAATGTCCGATACAGATAAGTTTTTACCTTATATTAGATTGATATAAATATCCTATACATGTAAGTTTTTACCATAATTACATCTCTTCTCCATATTATGTTCGAATTTTAACCAATCTTTTCTCTCTCTACGTGTACATTTCCTTTTTGTTTTTTAAATAACTTTTAAATTTTGTCCTTTATTCAATTACTATCTTCTTTGAGTAAGGAGATCCATTATTTTCTTTTTAATATTCTGTTTGGATATTACCCAAGAGGCAAAAATTCATGTTTGCTTTAAGCAAAGAACAACTTGTTCACAATCTTGCACGTTTAAAATATTCCTTTCTTCCTTTACTTTTCTTTCTTTGTATTTCATTAAAGGAAAATGCAAATGCTCTACTGAATATATGTGTAGTTCTAAATTATCTCATTAAGGGTATAATTTAAAAAAAAATTAAGTAAATCAAATTATTTTTAAATGTAGAAAGATGACATTTGAGACAGATTAAAAAGGAAAAAGTCACATAAATTGGGATGGAGAGAATATCATCCATGACTACTAATAATGTTGGTTTAGATTAATTTAGTTTCAAAATATTTGAGTTGTGTTTGGATTAATTTCTTTTCCGGAGATAAATGATTAGATTAGGTAACTTTTTAAAATTCAAACAAATTTGAAATTTGAGCTTATTTCTATTTTTGAAAAGCAAATCAATTTAGTGTCTAAACTCCATTCACGTAATTCTAAAGAGCATTGATAACTTAGCTTGAGTGGGTATTCGATAAATTAATCTTTGTGTGCAAACAAGCTGACTCGAACGTCATTGTTATTATTTTTAAAAAAAGAGCATTTTTTACTTTTAGCCTGCGCCAGAAATTATTTATATTTGGTAGCCAAAAAAGTGTATAAAATTTGTATAATTTTTATATATAATATGCAGAATATATATATATATATAAAATATATATTTCTCGACTATTATTTTGAGAGCGGCTATACAGTGTTATTTTTCACAGAAAAAAAAAAGGTTAACTTGAGAAGATACATTTGGGATTTGTTTTTTTTTTTTTTTTTGGTGGATAAAAAAAATATGGGGGAGGTGACTCGAGCCATCTCTATCCATATTTTGACTTCCAAACAAGATGTACTAGACTAAAAGTCATTGATTATTATTATGGTATAATGACAGATGATTTATATATTAGGAATTGGGCCATTTTTTGGATTTTGGAGTGATGAGACAATTGGACAAATTAGGCCACTCAATTTCGGAATGCCAAACAAACTTTGGGCATGATTATTAATTGTGACATTGACTGCAATTTGAGAAGAAAAAGAAGAGAAGAAAAATTAAGAATTTGAAGTTTCATAAAATGACAACGTAAAAATAGTTCTATCTACACTCTGTCAGGGGTGGAGAGCTAGAGTATAAGATACATGTTTGAACGAACTCAGTATCTTTTGCTTAGACCCTATATTTATATTAGAAAATTCATTAAAAATATACAAATATTTAATTGCGAACAGATTAATTAAGGCGGCCTATGGATTACTTCATGTAATTTGACGGTTCAAACATATTATTCATCCTATTTTTTAGTTTACCAAAAGATACTTAATATAAACACTTTTGTACAATTAGTCTCTGAGTGACTTGATTATCTAAATATTTACGTCAGTGTTAGATAAAAATTAACACACACAAAAAAGGGCGAAGTGCAGCAATAGTTACTTTTAAGCCCGCTATTTAAAATATATTCACAATTTACAATATATTTAAAGATTAACCAATTCACCCAAACTTTAGGACTAAGTATCCTCAATTTGGAAATTCAGGACACTATGTCCTGAATTATTGAGCTGCTAATTTGAAATTCAGGACTAAGTGTTCTGAATTTCTGAACTATTAATTTAAAATTCAGGACATAAGATCCGAACTTCTGGACACAATTTTCAAACTCTGAAATTTGAACTTTGAGGTTTAAGGACGCCTTGTCCTGAAGTTTGAGCGAAATTGGCTAATTTTTAAATACATTGTAAACTGTGAATATATTTTATTTTTAAATACATTATAAACTGTGAATATATTTTAAACAACATGCTTAAAAGTACCTGGTGTCATTTCCACCAAAAAAAAAAAGTTGGAAGAAAAACTGTATTATATTGTAAATAGCTTTTCTAATACTGCCTTAAGGTGATAAGCCTTTAGCATATAAATTGAAAATCCAAATGGTGCATTTCTAACATCAAATTACATATATAAGCAGGTCTTAGCAAGCAAAACCAAGATTTACATGGTGCTGGAATATGTAAATGGTGGTGAATTATTTGACAGAATTGTAAGTAATTTTTGCCATTAACTGGTGCTTTTGCATTCAATTCTTGAAAATTAACTCTCTCTGTAAATCCTCATTCTTAGGCTTCTGAAGGAAAACTAGCAGAAACACAAGGCAGAAAACTCTTTCAACAATTAATTGATGGTGTTAGTTATTGCCATGACAAAGGTGTCTTCCATAGAGACCTCAAGGTAATTAATATAGTACAATAAGTTCAATTTTACTTTTTTACTTTTTAATTCAAGGTTTGAAGAGGAGCCTTGGCGTAACTGGTATAGTTGCTGTCATGTGACCAGGAGGTCACGGGTTCAAGCCGTGAAAACAGCCTCTTGCAGAAATGCAGAGTAAGACTGCGTACAATAGATCCTTGTGGTCCGGCCTCCTCACCATGCATAGCGGGAGCTTAGCACCGGGCTGCCCTTTTTAATTCAAGGCTTATTCATTGAACTATTCTCACAAGCAGATAGTATATTCATATTTGTTTTGTGAATGCAGCTAGAGAATGTCCTCATTGATGCAGAAAAAAACATAAAGATTACAGATTTTGGACTAAGTGCATTACCTCAACACTTAAGGGTATGGAACTTAACTCATGACTATTAGATGAGTTACTCCTTACATACGAATTTAACTTCTATACTCTAATAGCGTAATTTTTTTTTTACGCTATCAGGTCCATGTAACTATTCATAACAAGTGAAATTAGTAAAATGAAAATTAAAACAACCTTTTGTAGCAGTTTAATTCCATATTGTTCGGATTCTTCAAAAATGTGGCAGGTGTGTGTCAGATCATCTAAAAGTTATTCATTTTTTGAGGATCCAACAATGATGCAACGGCATTTTTGAAGGATCCGAACAACATAGATTAAATTGCATTGATAATTACTGCATTGTGATGTTCCTAAGTTATGTTCCTTACATATATACATGCATGTTCTTCTTTAAGCTTAATTAGCTTTCTTGCTCATACACAGGATGACGGCTTGTTGCATACAACATGTGGTAGCCCCAACTACGTTGCTCCTGAAATTCTTTCTAACAGAGGATACGATGGCGCGACATCAGATACATGGTCATGTGGAGTCATCTTATATGTCATTCTCACTGGTTTTTTACCCTTTGATGATAGAAATCTTGCAGTTCTTTATCAAAAGGTTAGTTTTTTCTAACATATGCGTGTTGCCGCCTGTTTTATATGGCTCTTTGGTATCGATGTTTTTAATCTTATTTTTAGGTATGTGAATATATCAGATTTTTAAGGGGGATGCACCAGTACCAAAATGGTTATCTCAAGGAGCAAAGAATCTTATAAAGAGGATTCTTGATCCAAATCCGCATACTCGCATAACAATGGCAGAGATTAAAGAGGATGAGTGGTTCAAACAAGACTATACTCCTGCTAATCCTGATGAATATGAAGATTTTGAAGATGATCATGCATCCTCAGATGATGAAGTGTTGACAGTACATGAAGCAGTATGAACTTTGACCTTTGAATAATTTGTTCACGTCTTTCATTATACTTATGTCTGTTGAATTGTGCACAATAACAACAACAACCAAATCCAGTGTAATCCTACAAGTGAGGTCGGGACTCAGGAGAGGGTAGTGTGTAGGCAGACCTTACCCCTACCTTGAAGGAAGAGAGGCTATTTTCGATAGACCCTCGGCTCGTCTGTTCAATTGTGTGATCATCTCATTTAAAAGTTTAACCTATTAGAGATGGTACGTGCGAGCCGGATACTTTTACTCTGGCCAAGCACGTGGTTTTTTTTTAATAATGAGTGGCTGTGAGACTTGACTCCGGAACCTCTATCTGCTTGATACCATGTTAGAGATGATAATTTTTTGTTTACTTAATTGTACCTTTATTGTTACAGCTTGTTGCTATTGATTCCTTTTGTCGTTATTATCTTTCTAGCCCTCTTTGTTGTTATTGCTTGTTTCTACTGTTTCTTTTCATCTTTCTTGAGCCGAGAGTCTATCGGAAACGACCTCTTTACCTTTCTAGGGGCTAAGGTCTGCGTATACACTACCCTCCCCAGACCCCGCTTGTGGAATTTCACTGGGTGGTTGTTGTTAATTGTACCTTTAACAATGTCATGATTTATGACTAATTGGTCTTCTTTATTCTTGGAACAGCCACTTGATACAGAAAGAGATCCAGAATCACCTTCTGTTATCAATAATGCCTTTCAGCTAATTGGGATGTCCTCATGTTTTGATCTTTCTGGATTTTTTGAAAATGAGGTAAGTTCTTAACTTTAATTTTCTTCGAATAATGCAACGATTGATCAATAAAAGTACGTCGACTTACTTGGAATTACTGTAGGATGCCTCTGAGAGGAAGATCAGATTCACATCTAATCTCTCTCCAAAAGAATTGCTAGAGAGGATTGAGCATTTAGCAGTGCAAATGGGATTTCAAGTCCAGAAAAAACCTGGAAAGGTTAGTACATATGATATATATTCATAAGTTTGTAATTTTGCATTATAATATCCATTTAACAAGTAAATATTCAGACACACAAGTTAAGAATATATTTGGTTTATGTCTATTGTAGTTGAAAGTATTGCTAGAACACAAAGGTCAAAAAACTCAAGCCAGTCTTTCAATAGTAGCAGAGGTAAGTCACATTTGAGATATTTATTAATTTCCCTTGTTATTCAAGAATAATACTACAAAGAACATCTAATAATTCTGTCATTTACAGGTTTTTGAGATTAGCACATCCTTGTATGTTGTAGAGTTACAAAAATCTTCAGGGGATTCTACGGTATATAGAGAGGTATGTCTCGACATCCTCGTCTACATTGTAACAATCAGAGGTGGATCCAGGACGAGTTCTGTGGATTCAACTAATAGCTTGTTTTGCCAAGCTTCTTCAAAGCCAAAAGCATTTTTTTTTCCCAAAGTTGAAGTGTTTGACCAAGCTTTTAGAAGAAAAAAAAGTACTTTTGAGCAGAAGCAGGAAAAAAATAGCTTTTCTCCAAAAGTATTTTTTAAAAGTTTGGTCAAACACTAATTGCTGCTTAGAAGTGCTTTTCAAACTAATTAAGCCAAACACAAACTGCTCTTCATAAGTACTTTTGAGTAAAAGCACTTCTCAAAATAAGTTCATTTTAAAGCTTGACCGAACTGGCAATAAAACTCATTACTTTCAGCTCGAACTATATGTACATATGCATTAAAAGTTTAAAATGTATACACACAATAACATCATACAACAACCACAATAACCCAGTATATTCCCACAAATGGGAAAATAAACGCCATTGCCGGGGATTGAACTCGGGTTACCCGCGTGATAGGCGGGAAAACATCACCACTATACTACAACAACCTTGTGCTTAAATTGTCATCATACTCATTCTAAATTTACAGACTCTAGATCCTGGATTCGTCTCTGTTCTTTAAACTTCAAACACTGAACAAAACATTTTTTTGTTCCACAGTTATGCAATAGGTTATCAAATGAATTGGGTGTCCAGCAAAGTCAAGAGCTCTTGCCCACCAAATTATGAAAGTTGGAACTGTTGCGAATGGTCAAGTCCATTCTTTATTATCCGGGAACAAAGAATTTACCTCAAGAGTTGAGAGTAATAAAGTAGAAGACTGTAAATGAGATGCAAGTATAAATATGTCATTTTGTAATGCTCATACAACAGTTGTTGTAAGAAATTATAGTCCTCGTTAAATAAAAGTTCCGTTCTTTTTGCCCCTATGTTAGTCCGAAGTAGCTGTTATTTTGTATATTTACATAGCAAAACAATTTACTTAGTCGAAACATCTGGTTCTGATAAACCCTCGCCTCAAGAAAAGATGAAAAGAAGCAGTAACAACAGCAAGATATTAAGAAAATCACAGTGAAAGATTGCAATCAAACAACATTGTATTAATAGTAATCTAAGAATAAGAAAGATACAATACTAATACTACTGGTATTGGGAAAAAAAGAAGGAAAAACACTTGACTACCTACTACCTTAATTCTCGACATCTACGCCCTCATGTCAAGGGTCCTCGGTAAGGTACCATACTTTTTGCTTTTTGCCTTATTGTCTACTATACACAATTTGAATTGTTATATGCAGTCGGTGAACCTTTTTTTTTGTACAGGCAACCTATCAAATTGGATCATATATTATTTATTATGTCGTTACATCATGTACATGTATTTGGTTTTTCTTTTAAATGTTCCTGAACAGTAAAAATAAAAATAATTTGAAACCTAGTTGTATTCCAGGAAAATTAACAATTCATGCAGTCAAGGCGTTTCTCCTTTACCTTCTAAATTTAAACAATCTCTGAGTTGCAATGCATGACAGCTTGTCCCAGTAGTGGAAATCTATAAGGTTCGGACTCTCAAAAAATGTTGTTGCACCCGTTAGATCCTCCAAAATGCACTACTTTTGGAAGATCTGACACGCATGCGGCGATAGTTTTGAAGAGTCGGAATAACATAGTTGGAAACCTTAGAAACATTGTTCTGAGATCCAAATACTGGCCTGAAAAATAAGCCAGTGCGCCAAAGAAATTTTCCAATCCAAATGATACTCTACTTATCCTTATGCACTCTTAATGTGCAGGCGGATGGAGCTTTTGAACAATGGGTGCAACTAAACTCAGCATTTTTGACACGGAACATATATACATACGTAAAAGACCACTAAATTTAAACAAATATTAAATTCCGAGCCCATAATTTCAAAATCACAGCAATTCAACGCTAAAACATGAAAGGTTGAACTCATCAAGTTTAAATCCTAGATTCGCTTCTGCTTATGTGCACATTCTGTTGATAAAACACTATGTACAACAGAAAAGAAATGCACTGCACATACAAACGTATTTGATTGAGACCATGCACAAATAACTATATACAGACTGAATCAATTTCTTTTACAGATATTTGATTTGAGACCATGCTCAAAATAACTCTTAGTAACTTCATACAATGGGAAGTGGGAACTCTCAAATAACTTTATACAGTAGGATTCAATATCTTTCACTTGAAAGATATCTGCTTGGAGACTTTAAAAAGCCCCTGTATAGGGCAGAACCTTCTCAATAAATACATACAAAGAACACATATTTTACAAAATGTACTAAATTTGTTACAAAGTATCACCTTGCTCTTTACTGTACACTTGAATCAAACCAGTTTCATTTGCCATTTGCAGCTTTTTATTTAACAGGGTGTTGTATTGATCATCTCTATCTTCTAAATTCCGGATGAATTCAACCTGAAACGACATTAATATTATTGTCAAAAATCGAACATGTTAGAGAATGAATTTACATACAAACAACTATGTCTCAATCCCAAACATTAAATATTGCAAAAGTTTAAATAACTTTATATTAGTTCACATACCTGGTCCTGAAACAAATCAAACTCATCCGAGCTCAGAAAACCATCACTGTTTGAATCGAGAAGTTGCATCATCTCCCGTGCATCATCTCCTGGTGCTCCGAGCTCCTCCATCACTTCCATAAGTTCGTCAATGCTGAGTTTACCATCTCCATTCTTGTCTAGAAGACGGAACACCCTACCTCTCTTGTCAGTTTCCAGACCTTTGGGATTTCCCGAAGGAAGATCTTTAAGACGCAATGCTGCAAACTCCGCTGCAGCCATCATGATTGCCTTCAGATGCCTCGCCTGTGTATGATTGATGACAAAAGTTACGGTTATTGAAACAGTTATTCCTGAGGCTGCGGTCAGATCAAAATACACGACGAATAAGTAAACATCTCATGAATCCAGTTTTGATAACATTTCCAATTACAAGTTCTTTATATTTAAAATATCCTGGCATTATCAGAAATGAAACAATATTTGGTCTCTTGATGTTTACCTCTTCAGGATCGGTAACACCACCCTTGTACAAAGAATGGGATGCTGTCCCTCCAGCGGCCAGTATGTCCATCTCTGATGTTCGTATTTGAATTTCCATTAGCGGTCTGGTCCGGTCACGTTCACTGGTATCAACAGCCATGTGCAAACTCTTATATCCATTAGCCTTAGGCCTTAAGATATAGTCTTTTGACCTACTTGGTATCTCTTTCCACAAAGATAGGACTACTTCTCGCGCCCTGTAGCAAGCCTTTTCTCCAATTTCCATTTCATTTACTCCAGCAGAGAGAGGAGTCAATACAACTCTTAAGCCTAAGATGTCATTCACCTCGTCAAGCTTGCGACCATCTTTCAAGAGCTTCTTCATGGTGCTGTAACGACTTTTATAACGACCCTCAACAGATATCTTGCTCACCATTTGCATTAATAGTGGATCGGATTTTAGGGACTGAAGCAGCTGTTCCTTGCATATATCTATCAGAGGCTTATTTCCACTCTCGTGACTTCTCAACCATGCATCAAGATAAAGATATGAGTAAGGAAACAAGTATCGAAAAGACAGATCCTCCAATTCAAGAGATAACAAATTAGTTCCGATGGCATGTGCTAGCGGAGCATGTAGTTTCATAACCTCAAGTGATATCATCTGCTGCCGGTACCTAGGAAGATAATCGAGGTGTCTCATCATATCAAGCTTGATAGCGAGGTCTAATACTAATGCCCTAACATCATAGTAGGTCAGACAAAATTTCCTTAATGCGGTTGCACTATCATCATCCAATAATTCTACCTTTAAGGACATATGTTTCACACGCAAGCTTTCATGCAATAAATGAGCAGTACTTGTACCAATCCGATCCCTCACCTCATATATTGATATAGCACCTGCCTCTAGAACTTCTCTTAGTAGCCCAGTTGATATAACTTCAGCATCCATCTGTGACATATGGAAAATACCTTTTAGCTTTCGCTTAAACTGGGCATGCACACGCGCATACACACACAAAGGGAGCAATAGCAAGCTTCCAACAAGGGGTTATAAATTCATGCTTTGACTTCTGAATTCCGCAGGTTAGAAAATCTGAACAATACTGATGAGAAAACCATGTGATTCTAAGCATCTGCTCCCACGTTATTATTGGATTAGATCATTCTTCAAACCGAATATTTTAACCGCAAAGATACGATAGAAAGATGGGAATATATCCCCCGCCCCCACCCTAACATTACCATAATTTTGGTGACACTGGCAAATAATGTGATCTCTAAGCTTTAGGAGCATAGCTCCAAATCAACCAATCAATCATCTATGCATGGCAAATATACAAAATAAAATGTGTTCTTTTCCTATATCAGTCATCTTTTAGGCAAGTGTGGATAAAAATGACTGCTTAAATCATACAAACTTTCTATTTATTCCCGAACACATTAAGAAAAGGTAGAAGCTTTGGAGATAATTTCCTTCTACTTATACTCTAGCTCCATCGCTTCTTCATAAAAATAATTGTATTAGCTTAATATCCCCCTAAAATAGCTTTGATATAATTGTCTGATAAAATGACAAAATTATTTTTTGTTACATCAAAATAACTTAATGTTTTCCAATATAACATCAAACTCACAAACTTTACTCACTATATAGCAACATCACATAGTTTTTGGATGAAGTTTGTAACTTTATTACTACTATACTAGTATAGTTCAGTTACTTTAATGTGACAAAAAAATAGTTTTTGTCACTTTATAGCAGGTAATTTAGTAACTTTAATGAGGCAGATAATAGTTTTTCCGGCTTTACTATTAATAAAGGTCAGAGTATGTGGGACCTACCTGTAGATCAGCTAAAATAACAGCTACAGACAAAGCTCTAGAGAGCGGTTCACGGTCGTCAGGTGCAAGAGGCAACGACTGAAGAATCGGAATACAAAGCTTTAGAGCTTTGAACAGCAATCTAGAAGAGCTAGTTGAAAGAACTTTATTATCCATTCTTTCAGTTAGCTCATTAAAAGCACCCACTAATTCCACCACCATTTTTCCGCCGGGCTGTTCCGGCGTCGCCACCAGTGCTTCACCTGACGCCGAAACTCGCACGGTGGCGATCTTGCTCGGACTCCGCCGGCGAAGGCAGTGTGGGAATTTTGGTAAGTGTAAGTGTGTGGATTTTTTAATAAAATGGAGGGTGTAGTCGTTTAAGTGGAGTTCCATATTTTGGATTATAGTATTGCCATGGTTGGGATTTTGGTGAATTTTTACAGAGAGTTCAAGAATTGAGAATGGACCAACAAGAAAGCAAATTAGTAGTATATATTTAATGGCTAGTGGCATGCCACGTTTGAATATGACATCTTTTTAGTATATTTGAGATTTTGAGGTTTGTGTTCACCAACGATGGAAATCTATTGAGGTTTGTGTTCTACTCCCCTAGTTTGAATCGACATAAAATTTAAGAATAAATTAAAACTTTTGTAGTTTAAAATATGTTACATTATTTGTATGACTATAGATTTTTAGAATTAGTTGTGAACTTGACAAATGTAAAGTTAATTATTTTTAAATTTATAAGTGTAACATTCTTTATTAAGGGGACTAAAAACAAAAATATATCACATAAACTAATGCATCTAAGTGTTATACAAAGATTATTTACTATCTTAAAAGTATTACTTAGACATTCTTATTTAAGTATGGTTAATATACATATTTTACTAAATATTTATCTTTGCATAAGTTTTGGATAAAAGTACGAGCGATCCGTATTTCTAATGTAAAATGAAGATATTTTGAGTTTAATCACCCGGCACAAAAACGCGTTGGCCCCACTAATTCAGTTTCATGTTGGGTTGTCACTACGAAGTAAAACACTTTCTACCAAGAAGTTCTCAATTCTCAAGCGTTTAAAAATTTCCAAGTGAAAAACACCTCCCACCACAATTCACTCAAGCATGGTAATGAACACCAAAAGTTATAGTTCATGAAGTAAAAGGAACACAACATAGTTCAAGTGTGCAAATTGCAAAGTCAGCCAAGTTTAACTAAGCATTTTGTATGTTTTAAGCCAAACTTATTGAACAATGAGAATAATAATCCATAGAACAATGAGGCTTTGCCAATTAGTATGTACTTTGTCCTAAAATGAGGATTCAAAGTTCTACCATTGAACTACCTAAAGTAACTTTTTAAAACAAGATTGGGCTCCCAATGTCATATATCAAGACAATGGCTCCTGTGAATCTCCCAACCGAGATAAATGAAGGTAAGCATCTGTACCTGCAAAAGAGGTCAAGAGATATGTGCACATCAGATATTGACAATATAATATTAACGTAAGATTGCGTACAATAAATCTAACATGATTCAGCCCATAGTCAAAGCTTTGTACACTACCAACAATAACAAACCCAGTGGAGTCCTACTAATGAAGTCTGGGGAGGGGTAGTGGGTATGTAGACCTTACCCCTGCCCTTGGGAGGTACAGGTTGTTTCCGATAAACCCTCAGTTTAGGAAAATAAGAGAAGAATAGAAACAACCAATAACAACAACAAAGGCCAGAAACATAATATCAGCAATCTACAAACCCTTTTTTTGGGGAAGCCTTATCGTAACTGGTAAAGTTGCTGCCAAGTGACCAGAAGGTCATGGGTTCGAGCCGTGGAAACAACCTCTTGCAGAAATGCAGAGTAAGGCTACGTACAATAGACCCTTGTGGTCTGGTCCTTCCCTGGACCCCGCGCATAACCGGAACTTAGTGCACCGGGCTGCCCTTTTTGTTACAAACCCCTTTTTATAAATGATCATGTACTCCTCAATGGAGAAGGATACCGATATCTAACAGGTTTATACAATCTTTGCGGTGCCAAGATTGGAGAGATTGTACATACCACCATCCTCATCAGATGAACCCTTACATCCGCAAAAATTGAGATTTTTTAAGACATAACCAACAAGTATGGATCTGTTTATCATATCAAATATTATCACATCGAACCTGCCAACAGATTCTTTCTTCATTTAGTAACAACATGATGCTATTAACCACAAACCCCCACAAAGATTGCTATAGTATTAGATAATGTTGTTAGTTTATCTATCAATCAAAATGGTGCTGGTGCAAACAAGGTTGAGAGATTTAGATAACATACCATAGCCTTCCATGGAGATAATCTGCAAATCCCCTCCAAAGTAGCGAGCATATAAACGACTTACTGGAATTCCATACCCATAACCAGCTAACGTGCTTGAAGTAGCCACGTCAGTTGTTGTGAAGTGCTCGTCCAGCGGATTCCTAGCAGTACTGTAGAGATAAGTAAAAATTTTGGGAAGTCCACTTCTTGGTATTCCACCCCCTTCATCAGAAACCTATATCAACACAGGCCATTCTTGTCAAGTAATGTGGAAGAAAATAGCTAGACTTACCTCTTCCACAGCAGGAAGACTTTCCTATCAAATTAAATACAAAATAAAGAGGAACAAGTCCTTAGCTAGACAGTCAGAAGGAATTTTTGCGGAGAAAAAATGAGATTGTAAAGAGGTCATGCCTTAATAGTGACATCCTCTAAACCATCAGCGACTATTATACGAATAGGAGGAGCAACTTTGTCTGAGTCCATAAATCGCTCTTGTACAGCACGGACGGAGTTCTTTACCAACTCAAAGACCATCATATGGAGATGTGTTGGCACATAACTGCACGGAAAAATGGAATCATAAACAAAGAAACAGGACTTGACATTTGCATGTGGATATCACTAGCTCTTTGGAAGCTCAACAGAACAAGAGATATGTACAAGACAGTAAAGAGTATCTGAGGGGAAACAACGAATAAAGTCAATGATTTAAGAGCAAAATAACATACGGGAAAGTAAAATCAGGATCCCCATAAATGTTAACATCAGGTGCGCTTCCATATTCGCGTAAGCAAATTCCCCGGGCATCCTCACTGGCAGTGCGTGCGACCTCCAGGGGAGACATTTTTGTATGTATATAGCCGACACAATTAGGAGGTGGATTAGGATCATGTAACGCCACATGCTGCCCTGAGCTTAACAGAAATTCAGCAGTGAAAAAAAACATTTGTTATAGCTATCAGCTTATACAAGATAAAGATCATCATTGTAAGAATTAAGCATGGAAAGGTACGGAGCTAACCGATAAGCATGCGGATCCCAATTCTGGACATGTAAAAGCGATCAAGAAATTGGTGTATTTCTCTCAAATCCTCATAATCAACTTTAGGCCAATCTTTCTTGAGTTGTTGGACTCCCAAAGCCATCATAGGAACGACATTATTGTGCCTTACCTTAATCAACTTAACCATTTGTGTAAATGCCAACTCGTCGTTTTTATTCTTTATTTCTGGATAGGATCTAATGTCACGGAAAGAATCCAAATACCAATCTCGGACCTAAAAGAAAGAAAAGAACCAAAGAAGTAAGTACTTGTAATGTACAATGTGATGGGATTTTAACAATTTAGTATAATTATCAAACAACAGGTGGTTGCAACCAGTGGCAAAGAATAGCCGGTTGCAACCAGGATAAAGTAGGAGGGTTGCAGTGGGTTGATGGCCAACATAAGTATTTTATTCACTATGCTAACTGTAATTATGGCCAATATTTTGGCTAATGGAGTCCATCTCACATAAGCATAAGTATCTTTGCAAAGTGTAGACTTTGTTGGCAATATTCTTTGGGACCCAAAAATATTGCATTATGTGGTGGACATCATTTGCACAAGTTGTATTTCTTCTTTTACACCTAAGAGGCCAATACTTTTTTGCCTATAAAAGGAAAGACAATTAGTTCATTTTAGACACACCAACAAGACTTGTCTTCAATTCTTGTTTTTTCCTTTCTTTCTTTATTAAGAATGTTTTGTATGAGATTTAGTGTTGGGAAGCACTTGTGTGAAATCTTGTGAGGTTATTCTCTTAGGGTATTTGGGATTAATTAGAGTGTTTACTCTAATTTTGTACTCTCTTTTGTACTCTTATTGTTATAGTAAATTGCTGCTCTTCGCTTGTGGACGTAGGTCACTTTGACCGAACCACGTTAAATTTGTGTCTTCTTTATCTACTTTAATTGTCGTTATCAACTTCCATTGTCTTTGTTATTGCCATTATACCGTTGTTTGGCTATATTCCGCACTACACGGGTTCCCAATCCTAACAAATTGGTATCAGAGTCGGATCTAACCGGGTTAGTTTCAATAGCCAAAATGACTCTAACAAAGACCTATGTTGAGAAATTTGACCGAAGTGCAAATTTCGGAATATGACAATTAAAGATGGAAGCTATCCTAATTCAAGATGGCTTAGATTTGGCGTTGCAAGGAAAGGAGAAGAAGCCGGATAAAATGACGGATGAGGAGTTTGCAGTCATAGACAAAAGGGCAAAAGCAGGTATCATTTTAAATTTCTCAAATGAGGTTTTACGTGAAGTTTCTGTAGAAACCACAACCAAAGGCATGCGGGAAAAATTGAAAACCTTATATATGAAGAGGACGGTGGAAAATAGACTTTACCTGAAGTAAAAGCTTTATACAATTCGTATGGGTGAAGGTACCTCTATTCTCTCTCATCTTGACATCTTTGATTCCATTCTTATGGATTTGAGTAATATAGATGCTGAAATTAAAGATGAGGATCAAGCTGTGTTACTGCTTTGTTCTCTACCCTATCTTTTAAGCATATAAGAGATACTATGCTTTATGCAAAGGATAATATCTCTTATAAGGATATTAAATCTATCTTAAAATCAAAATAACAGATAGATAGTGATATTACTGGGGAAGCTAGTGTAACTCAAGCGGAAGTTGGCTTGTTTGTTAGGGGAAAATCCGACTCCATATCCAGATACAATAATTTAGAGTGTCGCTATTGTCATAAGAAAGGTCACATTATCTCTGAATGCTATAAACTGAAAAATAAATAAAAACATAAAGAAAGAAAAAATGAGCACAAAAATACTGACACCGCCGAAGCTAGTGTAACAACTGATGAGATTAAGGGAACTATATTTTTAGCAACTGAAACTAGTTTCAGATCAGAAAATGAGTGGATTTTAGATTCCGGTTGTTCATATCATATGTGTCCTAGCAGGGACTTGTTTTCTACATATGATTCAGTTGCAGGTGGAGTTGTCCAATTGGGTAACAATGTTACTTGTAACGTTATTGGCAAAGGTACAATTCAGATCAAAATGCACGATGGTGTGGTGAGAATTCTCACAGATGTTAGACATGTTCCTGACTTAAAGAAAAATCTCATCTCTTTGGGCACTCTAGAATCTCTTGGGTGCAAGTACACAGGTGAAGGTGGAGTTCTGAAAGTTTCTCATGGTGCTCTTGTGATCATGAAAGCACACAGATCTGGTTCGTTGTATACTTTATTGGGATCCACTGTTATAGGCCCTACTACAGTTTCGGTATCAGACAACTTGTCTGATTTTGATGGCATTAAATTTTGACATATGCCCATTGGGGCTTTTGCGGAGAAGGTAGAGCAAATTTACTATATCAGCCAAAATTAGGCCAAGGTGGAGATTTGTAATTATGGCCAATATTTTGGCTAATGGAGTTCATCTCACATAAGCATAAGTATCTTTGCAAAGTGTAGACTTTGTTGGCAATATTCTTTGGGACCCAAAAAGATTGCATTATGTGGTGGATATCATTTGCACAAGTTGTATTTCTTCTTTTACACCTAAGAGGCCAATACTTCTTTGCCTATAAAAGGGAAGACAATTAGTTCATTTTAGACGCACCAACAAGACTTGTCTTCAATTCTTGTTTCTTTCTTTCTTCCTTTATTAAGAGTGTTTTGTATGAGAGTTAGTGTTGGGAAGCACTTGTGTGAAATCTTGTGAGGTTATTCTCTTAGGGTATTTGGGATTAATTAGAGTGTTTACTCTAATTTTATACTCTCTTTTGTACTCTTATTGTTATAGTAAATTGCTCCTCTCCGCTTGTGGACGTAGGTCACTTTGACCGAACCACGTTAAATTTGTGTCTTCTTTATCTACTTTAATTGTCGTTGTTATCAACTTCCATTGTCTTTGTTATTGTCATTATACCGTTGTTTGACTATATTCCGCACTACCCGGGTTCCCGATCCTAACACTAACTATGATAAATCCTTTGAATATTGAATTTGTTGGAAATCTGTCAAATATAATGGAATGGATACATAATATTCGTATAGCCAACCCAACTAATTTGGGATGCAAATTGATTGATCAAACATCAGGGAACAAAAATCAGCTAGCAGACTATTGTTGATGCCAAAAGGATGAAAATATGTTTATGAACTCTTAAAAGAACAGCAGAATCACTAAGTACGTGGAAACGAATGAACCATTAACAGAAGCAAGAATATAAAAGTTCAAGTGAATAGTAGGAACAACAACAACAACCGACCAACCAACCCAGTTTAATTTCACAAGTGAGATTTGGGGAGGGTAGTATGTACGCAGACGCTGCTTTGTTTTGGTAGACGAAGTGAATAGCAAGAAATGAGTAGAAAAAAGAAAGGATTCCTTTCAGGTCAAGGACTCTAGGTACAAACATCTAAAGAGTAAGAAAAAGAATAGTAAACCCAAATTTGGTAATAAAATAAAATATTAAAGAATCATCTTTAACTACATACTTTATCCTGTATCAGGACAGCCAAAAGCATAAATTAAACTCCACAATTAAATAATAAACATCTCCTGGACCGGGGGTTGAAGATAAATAGAGAAGAAAGGTGAAAATGGGGATACCTTTAAAACAGCAGGTTTTGAAGATAACCCATAAGGAAGATTTTCAAGCTCAATAGCTCTACGAGCAATTCGAATAGGCAACTCCTTATGAAGAAACTGAGCAGAAATCAACAAATTACGAGGAGAAGCTGTAGACCCAAAATCCATCATATGCCTTAAGCTTACACCAGTCTGTTTCATGCAACCCCATTTTTGCACTTCCTCTGCTAATTCTTTAGAAATTCTATCACACAGTTTCTTCGCCGCCATTAAACAACGTAAAAAAAAGAAACCCCAAAAAAGGGAATGAAATTGACACCTCGAATTCTTCACCCTATAATGCGACACAATTCATAATCCAAGAATGGTCTAAATCTAACTTATAAGAATGTAGGTGAAAGGGATATTTAAGGAAAATTTAATGAACCGAAATGAAAAGAAGTTAGCGCATGTGAATAACAATGACTATTAGAAAAGGTGGTTAATTACGATAGTTACAAAGCGTAGGAAGGTATAGTGGCATGTTGCTATAATTGAACATCCATACGTACACACTTTGCTTTCTTGTTTATCTCTTTTGTGCTATGCACATGCCCATTATTTTTTACGTTTTGCCTACAAAAACCTCGGGCTCAAACCTTGATGCTGATATGATATGAAGTCGTTTTGTTGTGAAAATAGGATGTGCTAGCTAGTTTTCGGATTGGTAATCCAAAAATAGTCCGTATTTGCAAAGTCATTGACTGTTTTGCTGAAACACAAACAGGTTCACTATAATATGCGGGATTATGGAGCTCCGGCATATTACGTTGGAACTCCAGCACACAGAAAGTTCTCACTTATTATGTTGGAACTCCAACACATTATGAAATTCCAGCATATTATGCTGGAAGCTCGTATGTAGAAAATTTGAACTACGGTATATTATGCTGAATATTTTCGGATTTTTAAAGGTGTTTTTGTTCAGATTTTATCTTTACATGAAAAAAGTGACTAAATTTTGATTACTTTTGAAACAACTATTTTACAATTACTACTTGTAAATCTGATTATTATTTTTTTTCCGTTATTGCTAGGAATAAAGGCTGTACACACAAAAGAACTTATATTTCGTGTTTACAATTCAATGATTACTTGACACATATTCTTATAGGCATTCTTATTACTAAATCATAGTTCAATTAATACTCATATTTTTGCGTCAATTTATAATTTAATCATGATAAATTAGTAAACATTAATGTATATATGAGGTGCAGATATTTCTACCGTGTAACATTAAGAGTGAATATTTTTCTTGTATCTCATGTTCATATATTAAACTAATAGATAAGAAAAATATATCCTTTTATATGTATTTATTACTTAACCACTTAAGTTCTGCATATTTGCGTTTTAAGTTGTAATTGTTGAAGTTAAATTGATGCAAATATTGGGGCAGAGAAGTACTTTTCGTGTAATTAAGGTTTGCTTATGCACTTGATATAGAAAACTCATTATTTCCACTAATTTGGATTTGTGTGAACTCCATAATTTTGCTCAAACTTTGTATATGTATTAAAAATTTACTAAATAAATATATAATTAATTTCGAACACAATAAATTAAATTATTATGATAAGATTCCAAATTTAAACTCATATATAAATTTTAAATTTGGAATCCACTTTTTCGAATCCATATTATTCCATCATGGGCCTTGGGTCATTTCGAGGATGGTTTAGGTTTTGAGAGATTGAGGGTGAGATGAAACATGGAACTACCGATGGCTATAACTGCAACAACGTGGGTAAGAGGTAAATGCGTAAGAAATTCCGAGGAATCCTCCGAAGGAATACCACTTTTCAAAGTACTTTTTTAAAAATTAGTTTTAGTGCGCGTATACATATATCAATGAGTATATAATTTAAAAATAATAAAATATTATTAAATAATATAATTGAATTACAAAATAAAAATTTAAAAAGTGTACGTTCTTGAAAATTAAATAATGTTAATGACATACACATAAATAAAGAAAAAAGTCTTGATTTTGAATAAGAATTTCATAATCAATTTGGATACGAAAAATATTGTCCATCATTGATTTTATCAAAGTTTTAAGTGACACAACTCTAGTTTGTTCCAAGCTAACTATAAACTAACATCTAGGCATTAGTAGAATTAATGAGATAATCTTAATTATTTTTACTCGCCTAATAATTATACAGAGCTTTTCAAATATACTTTTATATTAATTGTAATTAATGAACTATTATAGTCATTCAATCTTTGAGCTTGTCACCTATCTCTTAATCAAACTTTTAAGAATAGATTATATCTCTTTATTCAAATATCTCGCCTCTGACCAAAATCTTATAGCATTTTTTTCTCTTACTATTAAATATCCCCACAAGTATTTCTTCATATCAAAGTTCCAAAAGATATGTTCCTTTTTCTTTTCCTTTAAAAAAAATACAAATTCTCATTTGTGTTTTTGATTATTAACTAATATTATAATAAATTTTAAATTATTAGCGCTAATGATAGTAACATCTAAAAAGAGATTTATACATCATATATATTTACAAAGAAAATGACACAGATCCTGAGAACCTAAAATATCATTAAATATAGAAGGAGTGTCGACTGATATATCAATTTTAGTAACAATTAGTCCTTACTTATTTTTGTGTAAACTTTCTCACTTGAAGTATTCTTGTTCATCATTATATCCAAACTCATTTATCTCATTTAAATTGACAATATAGTACTTTTGATTGGATTTATCATTTGAAACATGAGATAATATACCTTAACATTCACATTCTTTAATTCAAAAAAATATTGTTAAAACATGGTGCAACTTAGTTCATTTGTATTTAATATTCATGATTGTTATAGCAATATTTTTTTTGTTAATTTTAAAGTTATAAATATTAAAAAATAACTAAATGACAAAATTATATTTAATGTGTATGATATAATATACATGTTATCCATCATTAATTATTTAAATTTTATATTAAAAATTATAAATCACCTTAAGACTTTGTGCGCATGTAAAATATTCAAATTAACAATACTCAAGATAGTTCAAACAAAATCGAAAAAAATGGAATTGACATGTTTGATGATTCTTACGTGGTCAGTACTACAAAATTAAAATGAAGAAAAAATTTATAACGTGTTAAAAACTTGGAAGCATTTAAGGAAAATACTTACACAATTTAAATATGGAAAAAAGTTATATAAGTAAAATTAAACTCAATTTTAGATTCCTAAATATTAAGAGTTTATGGCTAGTTCAAATAAGGAAGAATTTAATAAATAAAAATCAGTTAATTTTTAAAGTGCTAAATATTAGGAATATAAGTAAATTACAATTATAAATTTGTCCAATTTGAAATCTATTTTTAAATGGCAAAAAAGGCGAACGGCATTTTGATAAGAGTTTTCGTACTTTTAATATANAATATGGTTATTATTAAATTATAATTAATTCATATAAGTTTTCACCTTAATTGAACAATTCAATAACAATAACAAATTCAATATAATTTTACAAGTGGGATCTGGAAAGGGTAAGGTGTATGTAGACCTTATCCCTATCTTGTGAAGGTAGAAAAATTATTTTCGATAAATCTTCGGCTCAAAGAAGGGTATTATTCCTAAATGCCCAAGTAGTCTCCTAATTATGGATGTGGTCGACAACACACCGATAAGAAGGACTCTACTAGACACGGCTCCGAGACATCATATGACACTTTAAAACCTTAGGCTCTGATACCAAGTTTGTCACACACCGATCTCGGGGAGCGCGATCGGCGCTCAACCGAGATACTCCGGTCAAGCAAACATTTACAATACCTTCTACCCAACTCACCCATGAATAAAGAGAAAAATACATTTCATTAATAAATCAGTAAGAAATCGTGTGAACAATACCAGTCCCTTTTTCCATTAGTCACGTTATTAAAAATAATCTTTGGAATACATATTGAACACATAATTATTTTGACACAAGGCTTATCTGACAAAACTTCAAATTATAAAGAGCATCACGAGACTTACAAGGACATTGCGGGGTTCAATTCTAAGAGAAGAGTTTAGCCAACATAACCTTGCCTCGAGCTTTTTAATCTACTATAATATTCCGGAAATCCTAGCCACTTCGATCTATTTAGTAGGGGTGTACATAGGTCGGGTTGGTTCGGATTTTGCAATTACCAAACCAAACTAATTGTATCGGGTTTTTAAATCTATAGACCAAACCAAACCAACAAAAGTCGGATTTTTCAATATCGGGTTTTCTCGGATTTTTTGGGTTTTTCGGAAGTTTTTTCCGATAAACTTGTGCTCCAAATATTTCTATAGTCCTAAATACAATTTTTACCAATAACAACCATGTTTTTATTTTTTAGCATTGACCTCAACTATGCTAGTTAATAGGTTGTATGGTTCCACTTTATAAAGGTCTCTACTTTATAAATTATTTTTCACTTTACACTAAAATGCTAATAAAAGCTTAAAACAATTGACATGTCCAACTTCAATTGACATTAGATAAATAATTAGAAAGAGCAGGTTGGAGTATCATGGACAAATCAATTGCTTTAAGTATTGTAAAAAGTCTAATTTCTTCAACTGTCAAATTAACTGAACCTTAAAGAAATAATGTAATACAAAAGCTTCTTAATCGATTAAAAACCATGCACCAACTTTCTTTTAATTAACTACCTTAAAGTAGTAAAGATTTCAAAAATAATCATGAATCAAATTGTAGTTAACTATCCCTTTAATCAATCCTCAAAGGTGAGTGTGCATATTCCGAAAGAAAAGAAACAATTAACATATTTAATATTAAATAATATAAAAAAATAACTATACTCATTAACAATTGAATATAAATTATTACCTTCTTCAACTTGCTCAATTTTCTGGACTTCCTCTAACATGTCTTCAAACTTATATTCCTTGGAAATACATCAATATAAGAAATAATGTAGGAAATACATCACTCTTAATTTTACATAGTTCATATTATTTAACCAAATGATTCAAAATATAAGTAAAAAAGTTTCAATATCTTTTTAAGTAACAGTCAATTACTCATGTTAATCATCTAAGAGAAACAAAATAAATAAATAAATTCGATAATAGGGAGGAATACAACAGATTTGCAAAAAAACTCGCTAATCGAAAAAAGAAATTTTTTAGTTAATTGGGAAAAAACAAGGCGTATGTATGCAGCTAAAAGAAAACATGTAAAATGAGAAAAGGAAGAGCCTTACCAATGAGAGCAAAAGAGAGTTGATAGGGTTTAAGCTAATTTGGTTTGAGCTAATTGGGGGGTTTTGGAATGGAACAATAGGGTTTCTTGCTTTTGGAGAAGAGGCAAAATGATTTCAATTGTTTAAGTATTTTAGAACAGCTGTAGGACTAATCTAGTTTTGCTTTAGGACTAGGTTTTGGTTTGGGCTCAATTATTCTTTTATAGGCCAGACAATAACAAACATTTACATGGGCTATAAAACCAACTTAAAATATTATGCTAAATACAAAAATTATAAAAGAAAATAAGAAATATTTATAACGTACATTCTAATAAATATTTTTATCTATCTATTATAAAAAATATATATACATGTAATGTCGGGTTGGTTTAGTTTCGATTCGACTTTTTTTAGTTAATACCAAACCAAACCTATTATGGTCGAGTTTTATTTTTCAATACCAAACCAAGTCAAACCAAACCACTAGTCGGGTTTTTTTTTCGGTTTGACTCGGATTTTCGGGTTGGTGCGGGTTATCGGTTTGGTTTGTACACCCCTACTATTTAGAGATATAGCAAAATTGAACACAAATTAGGAAAGAGTTCATAGTTCCAGCTCACTTGAGCATTTTATCAAACACTAGGCATGCATTAAGGTTTCAAGGTCCTCCTATGGTGGATTCTTTCACTCCCACTATCCAAAGTTGACCCAAAAGAGCCTAACAATCTCTCCAATACCCTAGACTAAATGGTACATGCATGTAAAATAATCAACTCCCACACCCAAGAACTGCATGGCTTATTACTTATTTACAATTAAAATCATGAAATTGAGGGTTATGGAGTAGAACCTTACCTCTAGGATGGAGACATAGTGAATTCTCCTTGCAAATTCTTCAACTTGAGCAAGAATTGATGGATGATGAGCTTAGGAACTTCCTCTCTCACTCTATATCACTCCCTCTCTCTAGAAATATATGTCTTTCCCCTTTAAAATGATTCTTAAGGGTGTTTTATAAGAATGGGGTCGGGTTCAAAAATTAAAAAAATAGGAGCTCGTCACAGGTCTGCTGTCGCACATGCAACCGCATAATGCTTCTGCGGTCTGTAAAATGGGCCGCATAATGGCCCTCCGGAACTAGGCACTTCTGTGGTACTCTGCGACCGATATGCAGTCCGCATACCTGTTCTGCGGTCGCATAATGCACCGCAGAACTTCCTTTCGAAAATTTTTATGTCGGGTCTGCGATGGATTATGCGGCCCGCATAATGATTATGCTACCGCATAATGGACCGCATAATGATCCGAAACTTTGCCCTAGTTTTCGGCTTCGATCTGCGGCAGATCTGCGGTTCACAGATCAGTTATGTGACCGCAGACTGGACCGTAGAAATGCCCTGCATTTCTAAAAAAATTCTTCAACTCCCTAACGCACCGTTCAACCCAAAAAGTCCGAACCTCAAAGAATCTCTACAATCGTCAACACATAAACCTTCTTCGGCACCACGAAACTCCAAGTCTTAGGTAAAAATTTTACGGGGCCATACATTGAACCTTAATCGAGCATTTACCTTGATAAATTAATATAATTTAATACAAATATGGTGTATGTTTACCCGTAAAATGGTACAATTGAATTTGTAACGTGATTTATAGACACGTGAATTAACTTGATCCAAAAATATAAAATAAATGAGAATGAAATCAAGAATGTAAAAATAACTTAAAAGAAATACAAGCCTGCTGGTATGATAAGCTTCTCCGGAAGCAGTAGTATGAACAATATTAAGAACAAAAGAAAGCAAGTAATTTTATAATTTGAGAGCAGAATATAGCCTTTGTGTAGAGAATATTTTTCGTGTCCTCCAATAGATATTAATTCTCCTATATTTATAGCTACATTTAGGGAGACAAGATTCTCAAATCAAGCTCCTCTTGAATGAGACTAAAACCGTCATTGATGGCTGCATAACGGTTGGCTATAAATGCAGATATTCTCTATAACGGTTGCTCATTGAATGTTATCCAATATCAATTCTTCAAATATTTGTTATCGGTTGCCCTGTCTTCGAAATTCACCCAGCACAGGTCACATGCTTGCAATTTAGAAAATATTTTATGGTGTCTGTTACCAACATAGTTTTGTAGTAGAAATATCGACATGGCATGTGTGAGCTTTTTTAGGTTTTAATTCATCACCAACTCATCTCAGTTTTGGAAAGTGGAGTTATATGATATTATTGTTATAAACGATACTTATAGTGGTACGAGAGGTTCTGCTAGGATTTGATGTGTGGGGCTCCACAGTGGGGGGTTTAAATTTTAAAATTAAAACATTACTTTTAGTGGGAATTGAACTCTCATCTTTCCCATCGAACCCACAACCTTTACCATTGAACCAAGACATCTTTTGTTATTGGGTTCGACAATATATATTTATATAGATTTAGTAAATATTTCAATATAAATACAAGGTTCCAGAAAAAAGTCATTGGATTCGCCCGAACCCGCACCCACTACTGTAGCTCCGCCCCTGATATGAACAGCTAGCAAGCGTTCGGTAAAATATTTAAGGTGTACGAAAACTGATCCAAACATCATTGTTATTAACATAAATTATCCAGAAAGTACTTATTTAAGACTAGCACAATAAAAATGGTAATATGCAACTTTATATTGACGATTGCACTGTCACAAACTTCTCGAATTAGTCAAACTAAGAACCTAAGCAACAATTAAGGAGTGTCTTTAATTTGTTGTATCAAAAAAGAAAAAGCAAGAGACATCATATCGTGAAAGTCTTAATTGGTGCGTCAAACCTTAAAACTCAAGGTAGTGATAATAAATAATTATGTATACGAAATTGATTTCGGCCTTCGTACATTTGATCGAGAAGAGAACACAATGGACCGAAGAAAGTCTTCATAATATCGAGATATGATCCGAAGAAGACACAAACGAACTTCAAGTTTCAGGGACATGTCAAATACCGAGCTCGAAGTCATTATCGAGCTCGGGTCCGAATCGAACTATGATGAGATATGATGGAATCGAGCTTAACGGCCAGAGGCCAACCAATAACGAGCCCAAGTCACTACCGGACCCCGAGTTGACATCAAGCTCAAACTCGCATCGAGCTCTCAAACTGGAAACCAACCAATACTGAGTCCGATCAAGATCGAGCTCATAGACAAGAGCCGTTACAGCCGCACTAAGGGAGAGAATCTCGGCGGAAACTGCACTAAGGGAGAGAATCTCGGCGGAAATTAGGGAAAAAGTGATTTATCGTGAGTCTCCCACTATGTATTTTTAATTATATCTAAAGTAGGATCCATCCACTATAAAGGGGAGGATTATTATTTCTCTAAAGGAAGAAGACATTCATACATGGTAACAAAGATATTATTGACATATTCTCATATTGAAAGACTAACCTTTGGACCTCCATTACTTCATCTTGTTTATTTATAAATTATCCCCTTTTCAACTGTGTTTATCTTCCATTCTACACATCCAAGATTGGATATTCCTACTTCTCTTCACGATTTGTATCAAATTACACTACATACCCTTAGAACTAAATACAAATTTAATTCTATCTGTTTTTTCGGGTAAACAAATTAAATAAGACAGAACTAATAACCCTTCCTATTATATTGGTAAACAAGGCAGTAAATAGTAATAATCCCAATCATATTCCGGTAGATTTAATGTAGAGTCCAAGCTGCCTTCGGCTACTATTTTCTTATTTATAATTCGAATATTAAAAGAGTAAAACTAACTGAGAAACTTACCTATAATACTTCAAAGTTACCTTACCATGTAAAAGAACTTTTTCTCTTTTTTTTTTCACCAGTAAAATAGTTTCTTAGTAGACAGGAAATAACGTACTCCTATATTATTGAAGGGCTAAGTTCTTTTATTTGCATTAATAATAATAATTCTTGTTTCCACATTATATTGTAGGAACAACTCTCAAAATCATAGCAATAATGGCTTATAGATCGATTCCTTCAAATCTCGTTAGAAAATCCTCCCTTTTTTCTTCTTCTCACTATGTAATTAACCCGAAAATCTCAAGTTCCTTCTCTTCAATCTCCAATTACCACAACAATACAACTACTAATCCGATGAGTAATAATACCCCATATTGTTATGATAATTCTATCAAATACCCTTTATTAAAACCATGTTTAGGTTATTACATGGTAATACCCTTTATCAAATCCGACGAATAATCAAGAATTTTGTTTTTGGCATTGGACATGTTATTACAGGGACTATGATAATCTTTGCCCTTGGTCCTATATCTTATGGAGGAAAATACCTTGGCTTGATTTCTTTGTACCGTTTGGATATTCTAGGGGGACGAATATGACGCGATTGAGCGCGTCAAATTACTAAAGAAAAAGCAAAAAGATGATAGCGATGCCCAGAATCAGAAACTTGTTCTTTTAACTCCTTCGAGAAGCAAAGTAGGTCATTTGATAGGATTAGTACTACTTTTGAGATTCCATTTTTTGCCACTATCATATTTACTGCAATTTGTTTAGGTATAGAGATGTACTTGTAAAGAGAAGGTATATGTAGTTCGAAAAAAAAAAATGGATGAAATTTTACCTCCTTATGCCTAGATTTTTTTTTTTTTTTTGAAGTAGAGCTTAATGGCCAACTTTAATACGCAAATCTCTTAGTATACTTATTAAGTAGTATTAAATACATGTGTTTTGGTATAATTATATTTTGATATTTATTTTATTAGATGGAAGAACTTTGTTTTTCTTAAAATTTATTCTATTAAAATACATAACCGATTGGATCGTTGGATGATTTGATGCATATATCATGAGGTAGTTCAATAAGCTCCTTATTTATATCACCCTAAAAAGAATCCATCTCCAATATATAACAACGGTTTGTCAAAAGTAGAAAATGGCTATAAATAAGGGGAATTTATGGCTTGTTTGGCCAAGCTTCTTTTTTGGCCAAAAATATATTATTTTTTTGGGTCAAAAAATACATTTTTTAAAAGTTAAGGCATTTGACCAAGATTTTAGAAGGAAAAAAGTATTTTTGAATAGAAGTATAAATTGTTTTTGTGTCACGGCCCCAAATTCCCTCCGTAGGAGGTCGTAATGGCACCTAGTCTCTAAGACTAGGTAAGCCTATCAATG